CCAAGGGGATTGGATTAACAATCCCAACTCTCCAAGGCCACGTTTGTTTGGCGGATTAGGTTGGATGAGATTGTTAGTGAAATGATTGTTAGTGAAGAGATTGTTAATGTGGGGATTGTTAGTGAGGGGATTAAGAAAAATTGTGTTTATTTTGATGATAGTATAGAAGATGATTAGTGATTAGATTATTAAATTATTTTTATATAAAATAAATAAATAAATTATTTTTATATTAAAAAAATAGAACAAATATTAAAACAAACAAGTGCACTTGATTAAAAAAAATTATATAAAATAAATTATTTCTATATTAAAAAAAATAGAACAAATATTAAAACAAACAAGTGCACTTGATTAAAAAAAATTATATAAAATAAACTCAATCCCCTCATTATTTTTTTCCTAATTCTACCCAAAATTCAGCCAAGCTAATCCCTCTATATGAGGGTATTCATAGTCCCATGGGAGTACTAGTCCCCTTCTATTTTTGTCAACTAAACATGGGCAACGTAGGACTCACAGAATTGATAGTCTAATCCCCCCACTTAAGGAGCCAAACAAACCTGACCTAATGAATATGTTAATCCCACCCTTGGAGGGGATTGATAGTCTAATTGAATTAATAATCGTATAAGATTTTAACATAACCAAACATTATTTTGATTAGCCTCACAAATTATTAACCCAATCTCTTCTTCTAAGAAGCTAAACAAATGTGGCCATAGTGACATGGAGACGAGACTCTTTCAATTGTGCATAAACAAAAGGAACACCATCCACTCTTACGTTCGAATAAGAACATATTTTATATCCCAGCGTAAATGGTGGATAATTTTACATTTTATTGTACTTTATATTCGTGAATAAAAGATGATGTGCGTGGCCGCTTTGCTATAAGGAATATATTTTATTACTCCAGTAGCAACAAACTCTACTACGTGGCCAAGAAGAAAAATGCTACATATTTTTATATTATTTTATTTTATGTGTCAGTATTAGTGATGTAAGGGATTCGATTCTATCACGATTTTTAATACACGGACTTTAATACAAAAATTGATATAAAAAGATAATTCAATGTAGGAAAAATTAGATCGCCATAAATTTTGACTTGTGGCATTTTAATTTTTAATATTTATTTAATTTTAATTTTAATTTTAAATTTTGTAATTTGTCTCAAAATAGTTTAATTAATTTCAATTGTTAATAACTTTTTATGATAAATATGTACAATAGCAACATGTGTCATTCTTAAGAATAAAATTGTAAACTTGATCAGTTTAATTACTTAATCTCAACCAACTCAATGATAATAATCTGTCAAAAAATCTAATGACATTTTTAATTGGATTAAATTGATGCAAAATTTAAAATTAAAGATCCAAATTGAATCAATTAAAATTGTAAAAATCAAAATGACACAAACAATAAAATATAAGAAATATCATTGTGGCCTATTTTTAGCAATTGGATTAAAAGCCAAAATGTTAATTTTTTAATTTTTTAAAATCACATCACATCTCTATTTTTTTATACACTTTTTTAAAAAAATTAAAAAATTAATTTTTAACTTCATTTTCAAAATAGGCCGTGTACGAATACGAAATAATTCTCCTCGTATAATCCTGTTGATCAAGTGTGCGCTCCTCCAAACGTTGTCGCTTTGCTACCTGAAAGCACAAACGTGAGTTAGCCAGCGGGTGTGTGCCGGAAACCTTTCCGATGCCTAAGTCAGCAAATAGACAATTAGACAAAAGTTCTGTGTATTCGAGAATCAAAGTTGTGTTACCTTCCCATAGGTTTTGTTGTGAGCTTTTATAACTTTTGTCTGGCATAATCCTAGTAGGACTCTTATTCCTACATGTAGAGTCCTCCTAGGAATCACACTCCTGAAAGATAATACTTATCATTCAACACTCCCTTCACTGCTTAAACCAAGAGAGATGGTTTTACCACGGTTGGATGACAGTATGACCGAGCTAACACTAGCCTTTTGTCATACTTAGTCCAGCACCTTCCCAACTATACGACATAGCTTGGTTCTCCTCTCACTTGCACCTCGGATTGGTCTGTTTAGACCGAGCTAACTGCAGCAAGCATTGACCAAGCTAACGAGAGCAAAGTCCATCATGAGAAGCCCAAATACTTCAGTTCTGAATACCATGACCGAGCTAACTATCAACATACCGATCGTGGTAACTGTACCTACAATTGGACCAAGCTAACTGCAAGGTCCTTTCACTCGGCCCTTTTTACCGCAACCCAAAGAACGGCCCATCATCACACCTTAGCCTAGCTCGGCCCTAGTGCATATAAAAACGCCCTCTCAGGCCGTAATTTATCTTTAATGTTATATTACTCATTCTAAAAAAATGACAATATATAAGAATAGCATAGCAACTTCAACGCTCCATTTAACTTATTTTTTTAATTCAATTCAAAGACCATAAAATATCAACACCGAAATTCATGTCCTTTCGAGGAAGACAGGATAAAATTTCACAAGAAAAATATATTAAATATTAGTAGAAAAAAAATAGGGTAAATTATATTGACACTCCTTGAGGTTTGGTCCAATTACTATTCACTCCTGACGTTTTGAAAATTACATTCCCAGCCTTATAGTTAATAGTCTCATTTCATAAACCTCCTGCTTGTATAAAAAGTAACAACTCCTAATAAAAAAATAGAAGAAATTACGTTAAAAAAATAAAGAAAAGGGAAAAAAAAAAGTAAAGCAAAGCAAAAAAATAGATAGTGCATGAGTTCAATGTCTTCATTCCGTCTAAATAATTACAATGACAGAGGGATTAGTGTAATTTTCCACACGTCAAGAGTGATATGTATTAAATCCAAGGGTCATTCTATTTACACACCACTTTCCCTCTCAAGGCAAACCATTAATTAATTTATTTTTTATTACAATTTTAATCTTAAGGGAAATGACTATAGAAGGCAAGTTATGATACACATCATTTGTGTATTTACCATAAAGGACAAGAATCAATATAATATAATTCATCATTTTCAAACTTATTCCTTACGTATCTTCTCTGTTAAGAATCCAAAAACCCTAAAACCAAAATCAAAAACCCTTCAACAAATAATTAAAAATATAGTATTATTGAAGATTTTGATTAGATTCAATGAATGACGCATCTAACAATTCTTATTCGAAACAATGGAGCAATGAAAATGTTATTTTTTTGTTATTTTTGTCTTCATTTTCATGTATGAGTGGTAAATAGTTGTTCAGTAGAGGTGAATAATATATCATTGTTCGACAAACTACAATCGAACAACTTACATATGTTCAACAGACTACAATTGAACAAATTACATATGTTCAACAAACTACAATCGAACAACTTACATATGTTCAACAGACTACAATTGAACAAATTACATATGATCAACAAACTACAATCGAACATATTCCATTTGTTCGACTATCTAAAACCGAACAAATGCAATTTGTTCGGATTACTAAGATCGAACTATTTCATTTAATTCAACTCTGTACTGCTGAACAGTTATAAATTTTTTTTTCCCAGAACTGTGCATCCATGGAATGCAGTAATGTTGAATCTGGGGGTCTTGCTGAGCACCAACGACGTCTTTACCACTGCTTAACTCTGTGTTGAGCACCAACACAGTGTTCACCGCTTGAAACTGAGAATGGAGGGAGGAAGATGGACGAAGGTGGGCGTGTGGGGGTGTGTGAGTGAGTGAAGATAAATATGGGAGTTTGTGTGTAAATTGTTGTGGATGGATGTGTGAGTAAGGACAAATATGTAAATTTATAGTGTATGATGAGCAAAATATATATTTACTAAATTATTAAATGTATGCTTTTAGAAGTGTTTTGCCTTGAGATTATTTATGATGTGTAAATAGAGGCACCCTAAATCCAAACCTCAGGAGGTGTAAGTATAATTTATTCAAAAAAAAAAAACTGAAGGTAAGGAATTTTTTTATTTTTTAAATTCATGGCACTAAAAGTTTGACTTACACAAAACTAGTGTATATTAAAGTTAATTTTTCTATTTCCCAATATCCTAATTTTTTCATGAAAAATGTTTGAGACTCTCATTTTTTGAAAATTCTTATAACTCCCTTTAAATTTTTACCATTGATATATATATATATATATATATATGAGACCCACTTATATATGTGTGGAACTCATACCATCAGTAAGAAAGATTCAAAAAGAATTACGAGATCTCCAAAAAATGAGAATGTCCATCATTATTGGCTCTGTTTGTTTGTGCTCTGAAAATAGTTTTTGTTTGTGCTCTTTGAGCATGATGTTTGGTAAGAGTTTTGGAATTAATTTTTCAAAATTCTGCCGAAAGCTCTGTCTATATGTCAAAGCATTCTGTTTGTTGCAGAGGGGGCGTTTGAGGGAACGGGACGTCCGGCCGGTCGTCCGGCCGGTTGACCGGCCGGCTGTCCGAAACAGTGAATTTTTTTTTTTTTTTTTGCAATTGATTTATATAATCGGGAAAAATATTTTCTGAAAATTTTTAAATTTTTTATATGCTTTAAAATAATTTTGAGTTGTATGTTTAGTTATGAGTTGTAAATTTTTGTATCACATATCAAATGTCACATCAATAATTCCCCACTCAAATCAAACCTCTTTTCCAAAACTATTTTCAAAACTCTTTACCAAACAAATTTTCTATCAAGACAAATTATTAATTAATTTATTTTTTATTACAATTTTAACCTTAAGTGAAATGACTATAAAGGACAAGTTATGATACACCCCATTTGTTTATTTACCATAAAGGACAAGAATCAATATAATATAATTCATCAATTTGAAACTTGTTCCTTACGTATTTTCTCCGTCAAGAATCCAAAAACCCTAAAACCAAAATCAAAAACCCTTCAACAAATAATTAAAAATATAGTATTATTGAAGATTTTGATTAGATTCAATGAATGATGCATCTAACAATTCTCATTCGAAACAATGGAACAATGAAAATATTATTTTTTTGTTATTTTTGTCTTCGTTTTTGTGTATGAGTGGTAAATAGTTATTCGGTAGAGGTGAATAATATATCATTGTTCGACAAACTACAATCGAACAATTTACATATGTTCAACAGACTACAATTGAACAAATTACATATGTTCAACAAACTACAATCGAACAACTTACATATGTTCAACAGACTACAATTGAACAAATTACATATGATCAACAGACTACAATCGAACATATTCCATTTGTTCGACTATCTAAAACCGAACAAATGCAATTTGTTCGAATTACTAAGGTCGAACTATTTCATTTAATTCAACTCTGTACTGCCGAACAGTTATAAAAAATTTTTTTCCAGAACTGTGCATCCATGGAATGCAGTAATGTTGGATCTGGGGGTCTTGCTAAGCACCAACGACGTCTTCACCACTGCTTAACTCTGTGTTGAGCACCAACACAGTGTTCACCGCTTGAAACTGAGAATGGAGGGGGAAAATGGACGAAGGTGGGCGTGTGGGGGTGTGTGAGTGAGTGAAGATAAATATGGGAGTTTGTGTGTAAATTGTTGTGGATGGATGTGTGAGTGAGGACAAATATGTAAATTTATGGTGTATGATGAGCAAAATATATATTTACTAAATTATTAAATGTATGCTTTTAGAAGTGGTTTGCCTTGAGATTATTTATGATGTGTAAATAGAGGCACCCTAAATCCAAACATCAGGAGGTGTAAGTATAATTTACCCCAAAAAAAAAAAAAAAAACAGAAGGTAAGGAATTTTTTTATTTTTTAAATTCATGGCACTAAAAGTTTCACTTACACAAAACTAGTGTATATTAAAGTTAATTTTTCCATTTCCCAATATCCTAATTTTTTCATGAAAAATATTTGAGACTCTCATTTTTTAAAAATTTTTATAAATCCCTTTAAATTTTTACCATTGATATATATATATATATATATATACACGAGAACTACTTATATATGTGTGGAACTCATACCATCAATAGGAAAGATCCAAAAGGAATCATGAGATCTCCAAAAAAAAAAATTAGAGTGTCGATCATTATTGTTTTTCCATACCTCACTCACAAAGTTGACTTCCTATTTTCGTGTGTTGGAGATGGAGTACATCTTGGATGAACATCTTGATGTTGAGGTAAGAAGATCCCCCTTCTTCAATAGCCCTCTTTGCCATCTCTCCAACCTCCCTTGCTCTCTTCCTTCTCTCCTCTCCTTCCTTTCCTCTCTCCATCACCTTCTCTATAGCCTCTTTCACATTCTCTCTCCTCATCACCACCCCACACTTGTCCTCCATCCCCCATGTCACAGCCCTCTGCACCCTCACACTGACACCAATTGCCAACACCTCAACCACCAACTTCTCATTAATAAATTGCTCCGCGAACAATGGACACGTCACCATCGGCACGCCAGAGGAAACGCCTTCTGTTGTTGAATTCCAACCGCAGTGTGTCAAGAAGCCTCCAATGGCCGGGTGGGACAAGATGAGGACTTGTGGAGCCCAGTCGCGGATCAAAAGACCTCGATCTTTGTTCCTCTCTTCAAATTTCTCATCCGCGAGCCACTTCTCTAGTTCCAATGATCTCTGTCCACCTCTTATAACCCATATGAATGACTTGTTTGACTTTTCCAAGCCTAGCCCCAGTTCTTTGAGTTGTGAGCCTGTAAGCCCACAAATGCTTCCCAAACAAGCATAGATCACCGAGTTTGGCTCTTGCGCGTCGAGCCACTTCAAATAATAAATGGCATCTTTCCCACCTCCGCCTCGCTCCGCCTTTTCAGAGCTCAGCTTGTTGCAAGCTGAAACCGGACCGATACACCATATCTTACAACCTTTAATCTTTCTATACTGTTTGACATAGTCCAACTCCAACTCTTCAAAAGTATTGATCAAAATCCCATCTACTACAGACTCAGCTGAGATCATTTTGTTCCGAACATCGATCAGGTCCGTTGAGCCCGGATTGAGACTTTCCGGTAACCGAGCTCTAGTCAGCTCGATCCGGTGAGGCAAACCGGGCACCACAAAGCTCTCAAACTCCGATACTGTCTCGTGAACCTTCGACACCTCCATGTTATGAGTGCACGAGAAAGCGAAACATCCCATTCCATCGAAAAAAAACCTCGGAATCCGAAACTTCCGGGCTGTTTCCACCGTCCAGGCGAGATTTTTGCCGGAGATTATGCAGCTCGGAGGTGGTTTTAGCTCATGAAACGCTTCTTCGAAGGGTTTTTGGAGCATCGAAGATGCCACGAAGAAGCTCTTGATTGAGCTTCGGGAGGGGAGCGAGTCCATGTTCTCGCACCCCTCGGGAAGGCCGGCCGTGGTGGCCGGGAATGGGAGCTCGAGGAGTCGGATCCGGTGTCCGGATTCGACTGCTCGAGGGATGGTGGAGATGAAACGGGCGGTGTTGACGGGGGTGGTGACTATGGTCACAGTGACACCGTGGTGTGAGAGCAGTTTGGCCATGTCTATCATGGGGAGAAGGTGACCTGGGGACATGAGGGGTATTAAGATAAAGTGAAGATGGTCAATTTGTGAAGATGACATTATTGTTGCCATTTGGGTTGTTGGAGGATGGAGGATTGGAGGTGTTGTGAAATATTCAAGTGATATATAGTGTATTGAAAATGATTTTGAAATATTGGGGTCTGTTGGGCTTTTGTAGTGTTCTCTTTGTCCTGTTTGGTTGAACTGTTTCTCACCAATCGTTTTGGTTCAGTGCTTGCCTATGATGATTGCGGTTTTTTTTTTTATTTAGAAAAATGATTAGGACTTTTTTTTTTAAGACTTCCACAATTTTCTTGATCTCAACTATTGATATACGTATGAAACACATTATTATATGTATAGAACTTATACCATTAACGGTTAAGATACAAAAGACACATTATTATATGTATAGAACTTACACCATTAACGATTAAGATACAAAAGAAATTGTGAGAATTTTTAAAAAAAATGAGATCTCACTCATTTTTTTTTTTATGCAATTTAATTTGCATCGTTAAGTTTTGTTATGATATATTATGCACCATCTCTCTTTATTGGTGATGGAAGTCTTACTCTTTTATTTTGATATTTATTAATAAAGTTTCTTCATCAAAACAAAATAATAATAATAATAATTTTGAAATAAAAAATTTATATATAAAATATATAGAAGAGGATCCCTTTTAGTCTAAATTTTAAATTAGAGGGCGTTGTTTGGGCCCGTGAAGTTTACTGTGGGTTTTGTTTTAATGATCTGAACCGTTCATTCTATTAGGCATTTCGTGTATTTTGTTCACAAAAAAATTAGGTCGATTCAATAACTATAACTTGTTCAATTTATTGTGTTTATCACTAAAAAAATGTATGGTTTATTTTTAAAATACAATTGTTATATATTTTTTTAGTAAAAAATTGAACAAATTATAATTATTAAATCACTTTAATTTTTTGTGTGGATGAAATACACGAATCATTCAACAAAATGAACGGTTTAGATCATTAAAACGGGACCCGTGGTGGGGCCCCATGGGTCAAAATAGCACCCTTCAGTCCAAAATCTAGACTGGAAAATCCTTCTCCAAAATGTATTAGGCCTTGTTTGAAAATTTATTATTTTGACTGATTTTTTGACTTTTTTTTTAAAAAAAAATATATAAAAAAATAATATGATAATTTATAGTTGGTTTTTGGCTAAAAATTCATGTCTCCAAAAGAGACTTATCAATGAAATTTATAAAATTATAAGGATAAAGATAAGTGTTTTTTTTTTAATATATTTTATTCAAAATAAATAAAAAAAGTACTAACAGATTTGCCACGTAATAATGAATGAACCTTAAAATGTGAAATATGATCTATTTCAATAGTATGACATGTGTTCCATGCACGGATTATAATGGTAATATGATCATCTATTTTTACTATTTTATTATATTATCTGATGTTTTAATTTAGTTGAGAGTACTGTATTGAAAAGACACAAAACTGGTGGTCGGATTTATCATATCAATGTTAAGTAAGATGATAAATATAATATGATAATAAACCAAGGTGATAAAATGTAAAATTATTATAATTATTTTTATTTATTATCTTATGTGTCGTTATATATTAGTAATAAATTTCAATAATTAAATCCATTAAATTAATAGAATGACAACATAACATTATTGTTTAGGTTATTTATTAACTCTAAAAAAAAAATATGAAATAAAAAGTCCTACCGTCACATGGGTAAATGTTTTGTTGAAGAAAATCTTTGCAATCATTTAGCAATTCAAAATAATATTTTATAAAATTACTAAGGCCAAGTTTGGCATCTTCCAAAAAATTTAAAAAGTCAAAAAGTCACTATCTTATTTAAATTACATCACCTCTCTAACACATCACTTCAAACCTAACCCATATTTCATAAAAAGTCAAAAAGTACACTTATTTAGTCTTCCCAAACTTGGTATAAATCTAGGTTACGAAGTCTTAACATGATGAGATGATAATCTATTATATATAATAATAAATTGCATATTTTATTTGGTGAACACAATCACATTATTTTATTTAAAAAAAAAAAACTTTCACATATGAATATGTATTCAATAGACATCTAATAATTGCTCAATGATTTTTCTTATTCATTAAATTATTCAAAATTAATAAAAAAATATATATAAATTCTTTATTCATCAAATTGCCCATCCATCACCAAATCATTCAAAAATTAAATGTAAAATAGCAAAGGTATCAGATTTACACCACCACTAATATATATATTATAAAAAGTATAGGTTATGAAAGAGGATGCTCTGAAATGACTTCATTAATATGAGACATGTTATATTGTGTAATTATCATGATTATGGCTCTATTTTATTAACTCAGAATAAAAAAACCAAATGTTTCTGACTTTTGTAACAGTTTTTGTCCCCATAGGGAAAATAAAGATTCCTGAATGTGCTGTACATAAATTAAAGGAGATGTCTAGAATAATTTGAATAAATATGTTTTTTAATTTTTTATAAAAAATATATATAAAAAATAGAGAGATAATATGATTAAAAAAAATAAAAAAAAATATACTTTTGTAGTGCACCCAAACATTCTCAAAACATTGAGCAAGTTCTGCCTCTGCTTAATTAAGGTCTCGTTTGGAAACAGATTAATTTAGTAACTTTTTAGCTATTTGGTTAAAAAGGTAGGTAAAAAAAACTTGTATGTTTGGGATGAATTTTTGGCTAATTACGAAAAGATATGCAAAAAGTAGAGAGAAAAGAGAATCTTTGACTTTTTGGTATGAGTTGTTGGTTTTTTGACTACCGTTTGGCAAGTTGGATTGGGGGCTTTTTTAGCTATTTTAGCCACAAAAGACAAAATATACTATTTTAGTCACAAAAAACAAAACATCACATCCAACCCATAATCATTACACTCTTCTCTCACAAAAAAAGTCAAAAAAGCCAAAAAGCCAAAAAGCCCTTCTCAAACCAAGCTTTTTAGCCCAGGCTAAAATAGCCAAAAAAGCCAAAAAGTCAAAAAACCAACCCACTTCAAAAACCAAGCCTATTTTTTTAGCTAATTGGCTAAAAAAGTAAGTCCCCAAACGGGGCCTAAATTTCCATTTCTGTACCAATGGATTGGACTGTGATTTTACAAGAAAAAAATATTAAACTCTAGAAAGAGTTTCATCTTGTTTGCATAATTTTGGACAAATTAGACTCATAGTCTCTGTTATTTGTCTCTTATGTTAATTTAGTTCTTATATATTTAATTGTGTCAATTTTATCTTAGATTTTTTATATTGTGTCAACTTAATCTAATTGCAAATGTCCCTTTAAAAATTAGACTAAGATCATACGACAAAATAGTTTATTTGCTCTCCTCAAAGAGATTGAGGTGTTGGCCTTCAATTTGAAATAGTTGATTCCTTTTAAATGTAAGAATTTGTCTTTGATTTATGTCTAATTTCTTAACATTTGTTATCAGTTAGATTAAATTAATATAATATAAAAAAAATTAGGATAAATTGATACAATTAAAACTATATAGATTAAATTAACACAAAGAACAAATTATAAGAACTACGAGTATAATTTTCTCATAAAGTTTTTATTTCACTACACATGGTACCTTTGGTCTAATTTTTAACTTTGGGTGATCGGATATTATTTGCGACGTTAAAGATTGATTTAGTGGATGAAATACTCTCTTACCAAATGTAATTTCCGTTTTCAAGTTTTATTATTGTATACAGCATTCTTTTCCGTATATCCCTATGATAGTACAATAAAAGGGCAGCAAATTACACTCATGCAGTTCAAAAAAGAAAAAAAAAATATATATATATATATATACCATGCAATTTATCACTTGTGCCAATTTGGTTCTTATAGTTCAAATTGCATCAATAATACCCTTAAATTTTTCTAGTTATATCACTTTAGTCCAATTGATATTACCCCATTAAAAATTGAACAAAAATTAAGTGAGTCGTGTTTTATCTCGTTTTTATTAAATAATTGAGAGATAAAAACTAACTCATTTAGCTTGTGTTAAAAAAAATATTTATCAAGTATCACATAAGCTCACATGATAAACAGTGAGGGCCTGTTTGGTTTAATTTTAGAATTATGATTTGAATGTAAAGTTATATTTTGAGTTTTGAATTTTTGAATCACGATTTGAAAAGAGAAAATTTGTTTAGTTATGAGTTTTGAAAATAGTTTTGGGATGATTTATAATTTTTTTTATTGATTGATGTATAGAATGTGAAAGAATGTGATAGGAGAGATGAGAGAGAACAAGTGATTGATTAATAAGAATAAATTTTTTTTTTTAAAAAAAAGAGGAGAGATGAGTTTTGAAAGTAAATTTGAATTGTATTTTAAAAATATGTTTGGTTAATATATTAGATTCAAATTATAATTTAAAAATAAAGTTGAGTTTTGAAAAATAAACCAAACGCTACCTAAATAATTTTTTCTACAAGAAGTTTGCTGACGCAGCGGAATATACGGGGACTAGATATCGTTCTAGTAGACAAAAGGGGCTCTCGAATCCACCAGAAAAATAGAACCTTGAATCCACAAGGAAAAGAAAATATCTTAATATTGAATGAAAAAATTGTCTTTGCCATGGGACTTACATAGCTATTTATAGTAAACCAAACCTAATGCTTGTAGGAAAAATAATTCTAAAATAAATTAGGAAACTTAAATCAATACAAATTAGGAAACCTAAGAGAATAAGAAACTAGAATTCTAAACTATTTAAAATCCTAGTCAAAATCTAATTCTAAAATAATAAAATTAAGAAACCTAATAATTCTAAAATATTTATACTAAATTACAAGAATCCTAATAATATATCAAAAATATTAAAACGAAAAAATATAAAAATTCTTAAAATCTTGTCCTGAAAATCTTGTCCTACATCAGACTCCTCTTCTTTGAAAGAACTCGTCCTCGAGTTCATATTAGAGATCTGCCATTGTCCATCCCAAATAAAAAGATACTTGGAATACTTCAGTTGTTTGTCCCTCTTCTGAACATTATATGCAGAGAAGTTTACTTTCTGAAAGTTGTTCTCTATATGCTTCAACTGGTTGACAAGATCAATTAGACAAGCATTGAAAATCAAATTAAATTACTCCACACCAAGAAAATCAACGAAGTGTATTTTATGTTGATGTTGGATACTCTTTGGACTCTGC